GGGATTGGGGAAGGAGAGAAAGAGAAATAGGGGAGAGACGGAGAAACAGTCCATGAAATGACCCATGAAAATTTATTTGAACTTCTGCCATCACGTCCTTAAATAAATATAAATATCCCCAATAAATAGCCTTAAAACCAGCAGAGGATGCCTGACAGCCAGACTATTAGCCCCTAGGCTTCACCCCAAATTTGCATCTGCTTCTTCATAAACAACACTCCTCCGACAGATGGATCTTTGCCATCCTGACTCATGAGTAGCTATGAGAGTTTGGGGAGCAGCGTTCACCTCCAGCGCACTCATTCTTAGGCTCCTCTCTGCTACAGCACCCAGGGGCTAAACACGGACAAGCACGAGACAGTGGGCTCCTGTTGTCTTCCAGTCCCTACAAGACAGAACACTGCTTTGATGGCTGTGGTGGGACAGAGGGGTGACTCGTGAGGACAAGCTCAATTAAGTTGGTGTGTTAAGTGCCACACCAACTTCAGCAGTGTAAATATGAAGGTGCAAACGTGTTTGGAGTAGAATGTGGTAGTGTCTGTGGAGACAGCAACAGTCTCACCCTGATATCATGGGGTAGGGTGAGTAGACAGCTTGTATTGAAGCTCATGGTGCATATGGACTGGAACCTCAGGGAATTTTCCCCATCATCAGGCAGTTGGTTTTGCCTCTGCCTCTCTGTCTCTGTCCAGCGTCACCAGCTACTAGGCAAAACCATTTCATTCATCCTTCCGTGCTGTGGACCTGTGGCTGGGGCTTGGGGGTGGCTTAGAGATGTAAGTTGGACGCCTTCCCCCAGAGGCTCGTAACTTAAATTCCGTTATTAGCAAGCTCACTCGGCAAGTGTGAAAGGGAGGCCGCGTGCCAGTCAGGGTGAGCTCGGCAGGTCTAGCTCGGTGGTTGTCCCCGAGCCCCTGGGCAGGGACAGCGCAGGAAGGGGCGAGTGACTCCATGCCACCAGCGGGCTGGGTACTCCTGTGGGCCTGCGCTCAGTCCTATCAAAGCTTGATCCCGTTTGGTCCTCAAACCACTTTGTGGGCAATACTGTTTCAGTCCAGACTACTGTGGCAAACACTATGTAAGTAACAAAATTTACTTCTCACAGTTCTGGAGGCTAAGATTCCAAGACCGGTGCCCGCTTGACTGGGGCCCAGTGAGCATCCTCTTCTGGGTTATAGAATACCTGTTGTGTGCTCACATGGCAGAATGAGGGTTTCCTGGGGCCCATTTTATTAGGTCACTAACCCCACTGTGGGGTTCCCACCCCTTTGCCTTAACCACTCCCCAAGTGCCCCACTCCTCGGGAGTGAGGGTTAGGGCTTCAAAGACTCAGTCCATTGCCTTCTCCAGCCATCTGCATCCTACAGGTGTGGAAATGGGGGTTTGATAATAACCTGCATGTCCAAGGTCCCGAGCCTCTATATCAGCACTCACCCTGGGGCCTTACCCAAACTGCACACTCGTCACTCAGTGTCGCAATTGCTGTAGTGTAAGGAAACAAAAAGAGCAATAGGGAGTGTGTTAGCAAGATTCCTGATAGAGGAGAGTGATGAAGGGGGCCAAGGGAAGGCGGAAGCAGCCTGCAGTCTCTGATGTCTGTCGCAGGGCACAAGGACAAGGGACTCTTGTGGACCACAGCAGGGGGCGTCCTAGCCGTTGCCCCCCCCCCCCAGTATGGGAAGCACAATGTTACCCTGCTATGTGGGTTAATCCCCCGACCCATGAATATGACTTTTGGCCTTCTGCTCCCAGCCTGATCCCACCACCACCCATCAACCCTTTCCTCAAATGTGGATGCTGCCTGAAGCAGCTTAAAGTTTCAGAGAGACATAAATGCTCTTTGCCTTTACTTCAGTCCTGCCTGGAATGCCCTTCATTCTACCGCCTCTTTCCTTCCCACCTCCCCACCTCTCCACCTCCCTGAGCAAAATAAAATACACTAAAAGCGGCACTCTGCAGCACTCAGTACGCTCGGCGTGCAAGCTTGGTTAAACAAATCACATTGACCTTTAATAAAGATGGGCCAACTGCTGCCTTCGCTCATTCAATATGTTCGTCTTCAGGCCAAACCACCATCAGAGCAAGCATCATTAAGTGCCCATCTGATCAGGCTACTCCCTGCTTAACATCCTCCAGCGACTGCACTGCCTACCGGACGCGGCGCCAACTTCCAGCAGCACAGAGAAGGACTCGGGGTGCAGCCTGGGCTGCCCCTGCCAGCCTCATTTCTCATGGTCCCCTCCCCTGCTTCTTACCCACACTCAGCTGCCCCCAGTGTGCTCGGCTCTCCGCTTCCTCAGCTCCGTGTCTAGCATGGCTGTCCACACTGCCCTTGACAGCCACCCTTCCAGCCATAACCACCCTTCCAGCCACTGACTACCTCCTGTCACTCAGGTTGCCGCTCAGCCACAGCCTCCATCCATCCTCTCCCAAGTCCCACCCCCAGGCAGAACTGACAGCCCCTCATGTCTTCAATGCACAGAATCCCAATCTGTACAGCTCCTTGATGCACCCCCTTATTTATCCCCAGCTCACCCACACCAGCTCAGTGCTGGACATATCTTAAGGCCCTGAGAAACAGCCAGGGCCAAATGGTGGGTGCTCAGCATAAGCTTATTCTGTGGGCAGAAGGACCATCCCATCCAGGTGTCCCCTGGACCGTCAACTGAACAGCCCAGGGCGCATGCACACGCAGCCCCATCATTTTCCACTCGCTGCATTTCTCTTGGGCTTGTCCTGATTCCCCAGTGTTTTGACAGTAAAGCAGAAACATTTAAGAGGAAAATGAGGTCAGATCCTTCCCCCTCTGGGTGGTCTCCAAATCCAGTCTGACCAGTCTCCCAGGGCATTTTGTGGACAAGGTCCTGGGAGGGGTGCGCTTACTCCTCAGGCAGTGCTAGGCCAGAAGGGTCAGGTGGGTGTGGAGCAGACAACGGTGGCTTTATTGGCATCATTCCAAATTAGTGGCTCAGTTCTTAATACAGCTGACAGGTGAAGAAGCGCTAAAACCCAGGTTCCTTAGCAAAGACAGAGCTTCCTTATCAAAGAAATTTGAGCAAATTCTGATGGAACAGAAGAGGGAGAGAGGGTTTTTGCTAATCCAGGAATATGGATTAGCAGCATTAATGCTCAGAATCAGTAGGTGGGCACAGACTGGGCCAGCGTGCATTACCACCACCTAATAATAACACCTACGGGTTTGTTTTGCCATTTGTTGTGTCTCCAAAACTAGAACGAGGGCTGACGGCACCATCTTGTTCACCATTCTATCCCCACAGCCTGCCTAAACACAAAGAAGTGCTTAGTGAACCTTTGTTGAATGAATGACCTTGATAAACAGATGAGGACAGGTGGGCTCAGTTCTTACTCTGCACTCAGCTAGCTCTGTGACCTTGACCTGGTTACTCCACCTCTCTGGTCTTAAACTCTTTATCAATAAGGATGTTAAGATCTTCCTAACCAATCTCACCATGTCAGAGATTCTAGCTATATGTAGAAGCCCATTTTTTACCACTATATATGCATATTATTGAATTTGAGAGGTTGCACCAACCACCAACTAGGAATTGAATACATGGATGAGAGCACATTCATGGGTACAGAAGGACTGGAGGAGTCAGTCTCATCCCTCTGCCAGCAGGCACAGGGGTCCTTGCCATGTGCCCTCAAGGGTACATGGATCGTCCAGAAAGGTGCACACTCATGGCAAGCCAGAGACAGGGATCTTGGCATCACTAGAACAGAGGACAGAGGACAGTGGGAGCCCTGAATATAGGTGGACTACCCTACAATGACTGTGTAGGTCATAAGGGAAAAGGGAACCTTGCACTTATCTTTCAGAAATGCCAACACTGGAAAAATCAGGTAGAAAGTCAGGAGCCAGCAAGAGAACCTGAGAAGGAATGGCAAAAAAAAAAAAGAAAAAGAAAGAAAAATGAAACCAATTATGGTATCTCAACAGCCAAGAAAATAGAGCAATAGTGTGTAAAGTTAGGGGAAAAGAAATCGCAGGGCAAGGAGGAGAATGAGAACTTCACTGAAATTTACTGATATTTGAAAATTCAGTGTTATCAAAATTTTATAAACCTATAACCAATGCAATGAATTTTTAAAAATCAAGAGCAAAAACTAAAATGTTTATAGCAATTGTTTTAGATGATCAGGGCTATTGTGTTCTTTCTCTTGCTTTCTGTCAATATAAGCTGATATGTGCTTATATCACTTTTATAATTAGAAAAGTACACTTAATAACAAAAAATATGAGTGTGAATACCTCATGACAGAGAGATCCAGAAAAATGAAATCCATCATTAAGCCCAACTGTTGAGCCTTATATGGGATTTAGACTGATTTGCTTTTCTTTCCAAAAGTATTTTCTTATTGTTCTGTTAATTAAGTACTGTTAATCAATAAGAATGGCAATCAGGCAACATTTCAATAGGGCCTGAAGCTATTAATTGTGCATTTCATTATGATTTCACTATGACTTTGCTATGGGTTCAGGTCTCAGGGGACATAACCAAGACTAGCTCTTCCTTTTGTCCTTGTGTTAGAACACGTGTCTAGTCACCAACAGCTGCTGCCCTGTCCTTAAGGAGGAATGTACTCCCTCACATCCCTGACTACCTAACTTCTCAGGCTACCACAATGTGAACAGTAGTCACATGTGCTGCTTTCGGGATGGGAACTTTAAGAACAAACACGTTTGATCATGCTTGCTTTTGTCCCTAATGTTGGGGGACACATGGGCCAGAGAATGACTGCTATTAGAGGGGGGCCACAATGTCAGGGAGGAAGCTCTTGGTCAACCTGGAATGGATGTGTATGTGAACAGGAAGTAATCTCTGTTGTCTAAAATGGTTGAGATCTGAAGGGGCTTTTTGTTACTACAGCCTATCCTGACAGGTACAGCCTTCTGGAATCTGGAAATAAAATCAACAGCAATATCAGCACTTTCTCAAGAAACCTAATTCTTCATGCTTTATTATTTTCTTCTCTAGATGATGCATATTTACTACAGGGACTTAATATAGAGGAACTATATCCAGAGACATCTAGTTTCATCACTTACGATGGGTCGATGACTGTCCCACCCTGCTATGAAACAGCAAGTTGGGTCATAATGAACAAGCCTGTCTACATCACCAGGATGCAGGTGAGCGTCTCTGTGGTCTTTCAGCTAGTAGGGAGGAGGATGCGAGAACAGAGTGCCAGGTTAGTTCCCCTGTGTTCTACAGCTAGTCTGATAAAAAGCAAGTGTGCAAAATGAAAGTTATGGTCAAATATACTTGGGGAAAAACATAATTTTTAAAAATCAAATAGTTTCGTTATTGGTAAACTCATGGTCTTTAAAATTATAATGCTTGTGCTCAGAGACACAGCAATATGAGATTCAGCGTTTCACAAATATATTTGAATGCGTATCTTTTTCTGAAGCATGTTAGAAAGGTTGGGATTCCTCAAAGTTGGGTGAGGAACATATCTAACGATTGATATCTGCCATGCTAATGGCTTCTTATGCGTACCTAGACCCATCACCCTACTTCTATGAATGAATACTCCTCTTTATAATGAGGAGGTAAATTACATACGTCTGTTCTAACTCTGACATTCTGTAACTGTGAGAATCTATAAACACTCAAAGGAAAGAAGAGCAAAGAAGCAGAATCCAATCTCCTTGATAGGACATGTACTCACAATCCAAGGCAAGGTGAATAATTTGAACTCTCTGAATCTGTCTGTATAGAGTGGGATTCTTTTGGTGACAAGAAACCCCTACCAGATAACTTAAACTTAGAAAACGGGTTTATTGAAGAGATATTGGGGACAGCTTATGAAATTTAAGATCAGAAATTAATACCAAGAATTCACTGGAATTAGGACCCTAGAAGACTTTTCTCCCAATTCTTTGCTTCTTCCTACTGTACCGCTCTTTGATTCTTCTTTTCTGCTAGAGACCCTTCCCCTGCTTCATAGACCTGGGTGGCACACAGTCTAGATCCGCATCTTGGTAATTAAAGGAACTGAATTAATACACATAGCTAGCATTGGCCCTTGGACCAGTCGCCACAATTTGGGTAATACCCATATGGGGAATACCATGACTCATTGGGAATTACTGAACCATAGGGTGTGCAAGAGAGAAGAGACCCTGGAGAACACCTGGCTGGATTTCCTCCTTGGACAGATGGCATATTTGAGGATAAGAGGGAATAATTGACTTGTTCAGAGGCAGACACAAGCTAGTGGGCTAGAACCAAGACTCATTCCATGCATGGAGGCATTAGAGAGCCTCAGACACAACTGAACCCACAAATCAAGGTCTCTGAGGGGCATGTGTGCCCTTTCCCAGACAACCAGCATGATCTGACTTGGCCCTGGGCCACGTGGGCTATGTTTACTTCTTCCCTGGTGCATTTCAAAAGATGCGTACCTCACAGCTGCTTCTCCCCTCAGATGCATTCTTTACGCCTGCTCAGCCAGAATCAGCCATCTCAGATCTTCCTGAGCATGAGCGACAACTTCAGGCCTGTCCAGCCACTCAACAACCGCTGCATCCGCACCAACATCAACTTCAGCTTACAGGGGAAGGACTGTCCAAACAACCGAGCCCAGAAGCTTCAGTATAGAGGTAGGTGCAGTGGTTCAGAGGGCAGTGGACGCAGCCAGAAGTCAGTCTTCCTGCTTCAATCTGTTCTTACATGCTGGTGTTATCTCCCATTATAAGAACAGTGACTAAAGAGCAGTAGAACCATCACCTTCCAGTGCATGGTGCTTTTCTGTTGGTGTGTATCATAGACAAGACAATCTCTCTGGTTCAGGCTAGGCAGCCTTCCTGTCACATGTTACAGAAGAGCTCCGAGAAGCTGACCTTCCATGGTTATCTGTTAGAGCAGGGCTGAAGCATTAGAGCTTTAGTTAATCCACAAATAAACCAGTAGGTGAACAGATAACTCTGGATGCCACTGGGATCTTTTCCAGTTCTGCATCCTTAGAAGTGACTCTTATTTCTACTACAGGCAACACTTCTGCCTAGTGTAACACTCTAGTCCACTCAGCCCTCTCTCTTCCCTTCTGCACACTCCCTATCTGTTAGCATTGGCACAAACCCTCCACATGGAAAGGGAGATGGTACCAGCAGTGTGGTCACTGGCCTTTCTGGGCCTGCTTCGGTCACTAACCAGCATACAAGCCCAGCCATATTGCGTGCCCTTCTCAACCTGGCTACCTCCATGGCAGATGATTATGAAGAGCGAATGTGCAAGGGGCACAGGATGTGCTTTGTCACAACAACGTGCTGCCCAAGTACAGGGCTGCGATCCTACAGGTTTCTCTTACCAAACAGCTGCCACCATTACCTCTTGGCCCCCACTCATCCCTACTACTTCCTACTAAATTTTAATTTTAGTTAATTTAAATTTGTCTCAGACACATGCAGAGATTTCCTGTCCCCATCCAGGAAGAACCACCAAACACGTCAATTTATAAATACCCTATTCGTTCACTAATTCTTCTCTTTATTCAGCACCTATTATAGAATACCTACTACATGCCAGGCACTTCGCTGGGTGATGGGAACACTGTGATAAGACAGACAGATTTGACTCCATCCCAGTGAGTCTGCAGCAGAGGTCAGCAGCCTTTTTCTGTAAAGGGACAGGCAGAAACTATTTTAGGCTTTGTAAGCTGTACAGTCCTCGACATACTCTGATGTTCCCATGTGAAAGCAGCCATGATGTAAGTAACTGAAAGGGTATGATTGTGTCCCAATAAAACTTTATTTACAAAAATAGATAGCATGCTGGTTGGTCTGTGGACTGTTTGTCCACCCCAGTATAGCCAGTGTCATCCATCAGTAGTTCCTACAACTATGAAAATGTTCTGTATCCATGTTGTCCAAGATAATAGCTACTAAACTCATAGAGCAATCAAACATTTTAATTGCTGTGTGGCTAGAATGTTGACACAGCTAAATTTTAATTTTAGTTAATTTAAATTTATGGTCACCACAGGTTACTATTGACATCCAGAGTTCCATGAGAAAGGGTGGTTGGGACACATGTAAGCAAGCCTTGATAGCCCTGTCCCTTCCCCTTTGGGGTAACCCCCAAACTGTGCACAAATTAATCACTACACCTTGTTTTGTATTGTTTGTGTGTGTGTTACTTTTTTTCCAGTAAACGAATGGCTCCTCAAGTAAGGAACTAAGCCAAGGAGAATCCCACCTCAGTGAAATGCTACAACTGTGAATTGACGTAACCTAGAATGTCCCCCTTCTTCTCTCTCCTTCCTCCCCTCAAGCCTCATTCTCTCTTTGGATTGGCCCTTTCTTCATGAAAAGTGTCTGCAAACCATGACAAAAGAACACATCTCTTACACACACGCACCCACACACACACACACACACACACACTAGCACACACATACACACACATGCAAACATTCCTACACACATGCACACTCACACCACCGCCAAGATGGGAAGTCAAGTTGCAGAAACAAACATAACAGGTCTTAGAAGAAAATAACCAGTTAACCTGATCACAATTTTGATACAGTTTTCCTGAACTAATAAATCTACTCAATGAGACTTCTCAGCCTTTGTATATACAAAATTCTTCCGAGAGAGAGAAGAGAAAGCACAGCTCCAACAGCATCAAGTGGACTTTGTTCTTTGCATCACATAATCTTGAATAGTGTCCTAGGATCCTGAGGGTGCTGAAGACCGATGAACCAGGACAAAGGTGGCCCAGGACACTGATTTCTAGATTATGATTCTTCTGTTTACTCCACAATTCAAAAGAAAAAAAATAAAGACAGACATTGAAAACTTACACATTGTGTATATATATATCACCACAAACTATAAAGAAATGGAAATATTTCCCCTCTTTGTCACATATCTGTAGTAGGATTTGCCAAGATCAGAATTGATCCATTTGCTGTTTCTTGTTTTCCAAAGGTCATACATTGTGTTTGGTTATTGTTAACAGCTCAATAAATGTGTTGAACGAGTTAATTTCCTTTTTCTGGCTTTGGTCTGTTCTCCTTCCTTACAGGCTAAGCCCTGACCCCATGCAACTGCATTCTTTGATTTCATTTATTCCTTCATCTACATGTTTGGTTCATTTGCAGCCAGTTTTCACTGAGTTTGTGGCAATCAGGAATGCATTTGCTAAGCAAGTATAACTTTAATTCCACTCCATGGCTCCATCATCCATACAAGGTGAGCTTCAGCCTGACATAGCAGGCAACAGAGTTCTTGCATTTCAAAACTGCCATCCCCCTACCCCTGTGATGCTCCCTTGAAGGAATGCACTTTGCCTTGTAAATTCCTGGGAAAGGGGTGTCTTTTCTCTCCAGGTGCAGCCAGATATCACAAAGTACAAACGAATGCCTTTCTTTTCTTGTTTATAATGGTCACTCACTGTGTTTGGTTACTGTCAAGAAATCAATAAATGTGTTTAACAAGTTACCCAGTACCCACGTCTGAGTTTATTGAGGAGGAGGATGCTCCCTGCTGAAGCCTGAGTCCTGCTGTGTCCCAAGCAATTGCATGATGCCGGCAGGGCAGCCAGCACCAGCAGAACAGCCCGTCTGGCCATTCCCAGAGCCAGGTAATTAATACCCTGTTGTGAAAACATATAGGCTTAGCTGCTGGAAAGGAAGGCTTGGATGTTCGTTCAGTGGCCAAATTGAACATTAGTCTCTCCTTTCTGTCACAGTCTCTAGAAAGAGGGAAAGCATCGGCACGTACAGTCTGAACAAATAGGAGAGCTCTTGGACACACAGAAACCCACAGCAATGGCCCAGGTATCTGGACAGTGAAAAAAAATGGACAAAATTCCTATTTGAAATAATACACTTAGTTGGATTTCATTTCTCTTTTTGCACATGTTAGTTAGATGATGGCCTGACCCATGATGATACATGAGTCTATTTCTAAGCAATCATATTTTTTCAGAAAAACCAATCTGCTTGCTGTTTAGGCTGGGCAAGTGGCAACGTTTCTGTGTTAAGGAAGCTCACTGCTTCCTCTGTGAAGCACAATCATCCTTAGCCTGCAAGGGCAGGCAGTGAAAGAATATCCCAGGTGGAGAAGATGGCTGATCAGTCAGCCGTGCCTGGCTTTTGATTTTTACTCAGCCACTTGCCTGTTTGCTGTGTGATGCTAGGCACACTGCTTTACTTCTCTGATGTGTACACTAGAGGGCTGCCAGTAAGTGCCACCATGAATTGTGAGGCTTAAATGTGATACGACTGGATGCAGCTAGCACCATACCTGCAATGATTGTTCTGTAAATGGCACCTGCAGAAACTGTGCCTTATCTCTCCAGGGCTCATCTGGACCATACATATGTCCCTCTGTAGGAAGGGGTTAGGATCGGTCACAACAGGGCCCCAAATCAATGTCACATGAGAGCAACAAATGCCCAACAGAGACACACAGGCAAATCATGAAATTTGCCAGGCAGAGAAGGCGCACCAGTGAGGAAGGCAGGCACAGGCTGGGCTTCTGGGCCTTGTTCTGTTAACAGCATGGTCTGACTGGCCAAGTCAACTCCCTGCCTGGGACAGTGAAGAAGACCTGGCCTCTTTACTCTGTCATTCCCTGACTCTGTTCAGTTCTCAGTTCAGGGAGAACAAAGGAACCCGCCCCCCTCCTACCCAAACTTAGGCCCTTAGGCCTGGGTAGAATTTCTCTGGCTAAATAGGGCTCAAATGGAATGAACTGCCTCTCCCACCTTCTGGGCCCATCCTAAATGGCCCTTCTCCCCCTTACTGGGTTTCTAAAACAATAAAATGGAAATTCAGACACTGCCTCAAACCATGTAGAAATGAAGAAGGGGGAGGAGGAAGAAGGGAGGGTGGGGGTGGGGGGAGGAAAAGAAGAAAAAAATGAACTTGTCGTAAAAGCACCAAAAAGTCCTTGGGAGCTGACCTGGCAAAGCCATCAAGGAACAAAATTACACTCGGACATTTTGAACTTGCTGGGTACAGGAGGGGCAGGAGAATGCCCTGCGGGGTGGGCAGCCAGCTGGTTTTGCCCACCACAGCCCAGGCTGACTGAGCACCCTCCCCCACATCCCCGGAGGACAGCTACCATAGATCCCATAGGGAGATACGTGCTGATCTCAGTGAATGAGGGAAGGCAGGTAAACAGACGCTGAAGAGAGTTTAGGGAAAGTTATATGAGAAAAAGAGAAGACATGGTGTGAAGATCCACATTTTGTGGTTTCTAAGAACATGTAGGGCCTTGTTCCCACCTTCCCTCATAGCAGTTTGGTTTCCATGGCAACATCAGGACAACCACAATTCCCCACACTAAATGTGTCTGGAATGTGAGTGTAACATGGATTTTGGGCAGAACTGTCTTCAGCCACAGCCCAGAGCTATCACCTCAGGCTGAAGGACATGACTGATGGTCATCGATTAACATGCCAACACCCCAGATGGGTCTTTACCCGGAGCACTGGTAGTTCATGAGAACTGTCCAGTTTCTACATCCCAGAAAGTCTGGGGCCTCCAGGAGCAGAAACTCACTTTGACATCATTTACCAACTAGCACCACTGAGCATAAGGAAAGATCTGCCAAGACCCCGGCCAAGGAAATGTGGTAGTTAATAAAAGCCGCCATCAGGCACATCTCCTATGGGCTCATTCCTGTACAAAGCCACTGACCAATGCCACCTCATTCAACCCACACAGTGATCCAAGGGGCAACCGTGCCATGTTGCCTGTGTTATAAATGCAACAATTGGACTAATTAAAGATGGGGTAACATGCTCAAGGTCACAGACCCAGCTCTTCTAACCCTGTGATTCTCAAAATACGGCCCTATCAGCTTGCCAGAAAACTCGACAGAAATGCAAATAGTTCAACACCACTGTATACTTGATACTCGGAGTGGGTAGATCGGCTGTATTTTTACAATTCCTCCAGGTGATTCTGACACACACTCAAGAGTAAGAAGCACTTTCAACAGAGGCTCCTTGCTACCACCTCCTAAACCCACATGTGGTGGCTGAGTAATGCTGGAATCTCTAGGATGGTTTAATAACTGCAGTACCCAGTCTAAAGTCAGAATGTTTGTGTGCCATCCCAGTGTCTGTGTTTTATAAAAATCCCTAGCTGATTCCAACGTGCATCACAGTTGGGGACTATGTCTGAAGGACTGCTCAGTGGAGGGCTCACCTGTCAGGTGAGTGGACAGGAGCCAGGGGCCAGTGGAATGCAAAGCTCTGATCTTATCCTGACCCAATCGCTGGGTGTCATAACTATTTGGGACGGCCTCAGATATCCCCCAGCGTGGGGGGGGGGGTATCTTTTCCTTCCCCAAAATATTCAATTAACAGATCCCAAGTCTGAAAAACAAATCCCACCCTTTCGAAGCAAAAGATTCATTTTTGAAATACTGACTTGGCACTAACTTCCAAATACCTTGGAGGTTGTCATTCCTGACGACTCAACTGGTAGCACTTCCAAAGCTCACAACCACCTACGAACACCTTAAAGTAAGCCTGGATCAGGAGACCAGTAGTTCAGAAAGACAATCCAGGTCCATCTTGAAAAGGCCCAGGGAAACTGTAGCCCTATCAGCTCCCGCTTCCTGGGGTCTCTTTCAGGCAATGCGCCCTCCCCTCCAATCAGTGGCTCTGGCCCCATCAGTGTTCATCTTCTCCAGTTGCATCTGCAGGAAATTCCTTCCCACCTCCAGTCTGCAGTAAGTGAAAGACGATGAACCCAAAGCGCAGAAATACACAAACGCTGCTCAGATAAGGAGAATGTTGAGTCCACCCTCTATAGAAGTTGGAGGAAGTTTAGGCTGAGAACTAGGTGGGGGAATAATCAAGGGGAGAGCTCAAAACTCCAGCTAACAAGGTGTCAGTGGGGAGTCCTCAGGCTGAGGAGGAAGAGATTGAGGCATGTCCCGACCCAGATATTTCTACCCCTCTCCCACCCATCTTTGGGATCAGGGAGCCCAAACCTCCCACTGGAAAGGCTCCCATGGCACCCCCATGCCACCCCTTCCCTGCTTTACACTGTCCCAGTCATTTTCTGGTTAGAGGCTTCAATTCCTTCGCAAGGCAGACAAAGCCTTCCTTAATGGATTCTCAGCAGGGGTCTGCAAACTCATCTCAGCCTCTGGCCTCCTCCCAGTCACTCCTCAGTTCTTTCCCATCCTTCCTCACCTGTGGAAATACAACGTGCTTTAAAGGAACCCAGCTCAAATGCCACCCAGGCTTCCCTGATTTTCCCAAGACAAAAATCATACCTTTCTTGCTCTGAGTTCACACAGCATATTGATTTTATCTCTGGTTAACACTCACTCAGGTCTATAATAGGAACATACATAAAGAAATAGATGGGTGCTTTATATGTGTGTGTGTATGAGAGAGAGAGAGAAACATACACATCACTTCATTTGATTCTATATGATCGTGTCTGTCCATGCTAACCTGAAGTTCTCTGAACACATCTCTTCATTTATCTTTTTATCTCACCCTCCTATGAAAAGAAAGAAATCAGATCATAATGTTTTATAAAAACTTCATGGACACAGAATTCTCCAATGGGAATCAGAGGTAAAGATACTGACTCAAGATCACACCGTTGGTGAGTTATCAGAGCTAGGAAGGTACAGTGATAGCTGATACTAGGGAAGCCTAGGGGAACTGCTCTTAGCTGGTGTTCACATGGAAGGGCTATTATGAGATTATGGCCATTTGGGTCTATTCTTTAGAGTGGACCCAAGGTACAGGAAGCCTGCCAATGGCTCCCAGCCCCAGAGCAATTAGCCTAGTCTCTGACTACGGTCCAAAAAGTGCAGAAGTCACCCGTGATTCTATTCTACTATCAACGGTGAGAACCATTGTCCATGCTGACGGCCCAGTGGCGCCACCTGGGCAGCTTACAACAATACCTGAGCATGGGCAATTCTAACAGCTGCCCAGGTGAATCGAATGTCAGCAGAGACTCAGTGTTCTGTAGGCAGACTCACCATTTCATACCCAGGTATCTGTCACACACTCAAATCCATGGTGACTATCCCTAGCCCTGGAAAGGATAAGCAGAACAACAGCATGGAGAGTCAGTGAGAAGAAGGGAAGGTTCCTTTGGGGGTCCAGGATGCTGGAGTCTGACGTGCAAATCCAGCGAGTTGTGTCCATAAGGTCTGAGTTCATAAAATCACACGACCCTCACGCCCAAATAGCCCCTTGACCTTGGGGCTCACACTCAGTGGGAATTCCATGGATAATGAATGGTGAACTTCAAGCAAGAGTTAAGAGGATGAAATGAGATGCCTTGTCTTCATCCAGTGGGACATGGAGCCTGGGGTGTCAGTGAGTGGCAGCTCGCCACCCCCCACCCACCCCATCACCAGGCTACAGGGTAAGCTGCCTGCTCCCGTAGGAAAGGTACCTCCAGAGTGGATGGGTGTAATTCCCTTCTTTAGATTCCACAAGTTATGAAAACAAAG